AAACCTATAGTTTAAAATATGTATTATTCAAGCAAGCTTAACAGAAACAAATTTTTGTTTACAAACTGAATAAAGTCTTAGACAAAAGGCAACGTATCTGACCCATTCGACTGTTTCTACTATGTTTATATTTTTCTTTATAAACAATTGGGAATATTTTACTTATATACTCTTGTGCAGTCCTCTAATATAGTGGTAACTAACTTCCTTAGTAAACCAACTTTCCGAGTGAGTCCTAAATCTTCTAATGTATAAGACTATGATTTTTCTCAAATCTCTTTTGGCATTGTATTGATCCTCTGGCATGCGAGCGTATTGACTGGTTGATTACCAATGATAAGTTTCACCTTGCACTTTGCCTTTCAGCATCTGCGACTTGGGTCGGGTCCTCTTTTATACACATCATCTACAGATCATCGTGTAAGAGGTATGCCTTCGTAGCAAAAGACTAATTATTCTAGTATGAAGATCTTTTTAGCTTTCCATGAACAAAAAGTTTGCTGATGACGTTTTTTCAGAGTCAGTAAAAACCCCTATAAACAGTATGCTAGGTACATAGTTTTTTGAGTTTAACTTCCTTGTTTCTACAATAAATGTTATGGATAAGGAGAATCGAGTCGACACTTTACTTATTTGAGTGACTATAATATGCAACCTGATAATACAACGACCTGAAAAAAAACTTTGGGGCACATATTCTACTCCAAAGGGGTCTTTTATTACATTCAGAAAAGATAAAGGAATCATTTTAAAAAGAGCAACATATTCAACATGCCTTAAAAAATACTAAGTAATATGTACGTCTTGTAGTTTACTTTAGTAAACTAAGTTATAATTTACACTAAATTTTTAAAATATATTTTAAAGTTTTTTTTTTAAGCGACTCCACTCTTTGTAATTAAATATTCGACCAACACATGTCATTATTCTAAATATATGAGCAGCAGATTCGAATGTGTAGAAATGAACATGGTAAGTTTTTTTTACCAAGTAAATGTTTATCCAGTCTGAGGTATTCACTCTGGATATGTGATGTTTATATTTGGTTAGTTAGCAGCCAAATTGTAACAGCGATTCTGTCAAATACCAAATTTTACTTTATTAGGTACCCTTAAGACTATACCAGATTCCTTTCTAATTTAGTAAAACAAAGGAGCACTTGTGTCAGTTTTAAGGATACTCACAATAGAATTTGGTATTTGATTGTATAGCTACTAATATATCTAAAGGCTAAATTATATAATCATAAAAAAATTAACAGTTCATTTTGGTCAATTATCAGCACTCCAAAAAAGTGAGTTTTATCTACTTTATAGGATGACCACAATTTTATTTTTTACCAATCGGATGACATGACAAACAAACTGATGTAAATTTTCGTAAGACGCGATAAAAATTAGGGACCTCTTTTGGACTGTACAGCGGATACTTTTTCATGGAACTGCTCGTGTACACATTTACTACCCGGACGTAAGGAGCTTCGCCGACAATAAAAAAAAAAAAAAAAAGACCCTCTTACAAATAGACGTAAAAGAGTCACTAAAAAACGCAAGGGAGAAGAGGTGGCGGAGAAGAAGAAGAAGAAGGACCTTTAATTGAAAGGAGCAGGGAGAACAAGCGCATAACGAGCCGCAAGATCCGCATCGGTAAGATATATCGCTCGGCTACTCCCCATCGCTTCGTGGAGCACTTTGCTTACGTTCATGCGCTTATGTACGCATACATAAAGGTGCTTATATTCAGTCACCGCTGTTTCAATTACCGCAAGGTGATATCGGTAAATCGAGCATGCCGACGACGAGCTGAAAGTGTAGCCGGGGAGCACTGTTTGTTTTTCTCTCTCTCCGTGTGTGCATGGAAAATGGAGCGCTTTTTTGGACACTTGATACTTATACATATACTTATGCACCAGCGTTTCCCGGTCGCTTTTGCTGTTATTGCAGTGCATCGCTGGCTTCCCCTCGCGTGACCTTCAATGCAGCTTTCGTAGAGGGGATCGGCAGGTGAGCGTCGTTGATTTTTTCGATTGAAATTTTTTTTTTTTTTTTTTTTTCTTTAAGGCCGAATTACTTGCTCGTATTTTTGTTTTCTGCTGAAACGAAGTGGTGGCATTTGCGAGCGGCTAATGGACTTTGGTTTGTACCTGATGGTTCGAGTTGCATTCACTCATTTGTTTTTATTCGTTGTATAAAATATGAAACTCTGAAAATTAGTTAACAAACGAATAACGTGATGAATTTTATGACTTAATGAAAAAATTTCAGTTTTTTTCAGATCGGTTTCAGATTTTGTATTTTATAAATAATTCGTACTCTATTATTCAGAGAGTCGATTTTAGCGCTAACATGCAAAAAGTTGCAGGATGCACATTAGCAGTATAAAATTCAAGTAATTTTATATAGAAAAACATAGGTTAATTTAATTTCCATAGAATATACGTCAGTATAAATAAACGTGATAAAAAGCTGAATATTTTGTAAGCATGTATTTTATATTTCGTCGTGCATTTCTGAGTCATAGGTATTTATGGATAAATAAAAGAAACATTTATTAATTGAAAAATATTTTTTAATTTTCAACAAATTGTTGAGAAATTTAGTAGTATTAAAAAATTAATAATCTTTTGTTTTTTAATAATTCTGATATAAAAATATGTTTTAAAGAAGTTTTACATCTTACTATTATTATTTTAGTATTATTACTAACTTTTGTCTTTTGTAAAATTTTAAAAAAAGTGTCAAAATTATCTGTTGATTTTTGTGACTTAGATGTAATTTGCATCCAAACAGTAGTTATTTTATATTTTTATCGTCTGATCAAAAATTCGCTAAGTGGGAAATCAAAGGATAATTTTTAGCAGTAATGTATTGTTCAACTTTTTTAAATAATAGTTAGATCGAGCATTGCTTAGTCCATAAATTTCGATATTATCATTTAGATAATGTTATATATCGCAAAGACAGTGGTTTCGTAACATCTAAAAAATCATATAAATATAAATGCGTATTCACATTACGTGAGAGAAAAATCCCAGGGGTGAGGCGTTACTCTCTCAATCAAAAAACTTACGTGATAAAAATTTAAAAAATCGCTTACGATATCACGTACTCATTGATAAATAAAAAACAGCGTGATCAGAAAGAAAAAAACCTTTCGGCAAAAACCTGTTTTATTTGAGCTGAAAGGGTTAATACGTTTGCTCGAGCTTTGGAGAGAAAAAGTAAAGTCGTGCGGATGCAAGCAAGCTTAACAGAAACAAATTTTTGTTTACAAACTGAATAAAGTCTTAGACAAAAGGCAACGTATCTGACCCATTCGACTGTTTCTACTATTCTACAAAACAGATTTTATCATATTTATTACATGTAACTTTTAATTATTTTTCTTCATAAAAAGTCACCAGTATTTTTTAAGTTTTTAAAACGATGCGTTAGTTACGTTAGAACATCTTCAAAAGAACGATAAATTTGCGACTTTATCATACAATGACATTAGAGTGTCATTGCATGGAAACGCTTACCCTGTCCGTGAAGTCTAAAAATTAATTAATTAACAGGTGGATTTTGAAACTATGAAAAATTTTGTTTTTTATGCAATAGTTAACATTAGTCATAAATTTAATCCGATTTTTTAAGGAAATAGTTCATACAAAATGTTTGTGCAAAAATTTATTTAAAAAATTCAGTGTTTTATGTTCTCATTGCAAAGGATTATTCTCAACCTTGATCGGAGTATTAAGTGATTATTCTTCTTTATAATTTGTAACATACATGCCAGTCAAGCTAGGCAGCTTAGTAAATGCCTACTATATGACTTAAACATGATATCCTGTCAGTAGTTGAATTCAATTTTATGTACGTAGATACTCAATTGAAGTTCGATTAACGGATCCACTTATACAAAAGGTAATGTGGTGTACATGAAAGGCCCAGTAATTACAGTTGAAAAATAATTTTTTGAGAAACTTGTTTAAGTAAAAAAAACAAATACAATTTTTTCATTACGTTCTGATGGAGAAAAAAAGTTTATATGTTATTGAATTGTGTGATTTATTTTTATATTAAAAATTAAAAAAAAAAATCATGTTATGTTCTTTCATTAAAAACCATTTCACTGATTGTAAAGGATAATAATATATTATTATGTTCGCACAACACTTGACTGCGATGGTGACGATTGTACTTACTCCAAGATGGGCTAAAAAAAATTCTCCATTTGACAAAGCGAGAGAGACAGCCAATTTCTCCTACTCATCTTGGATAAAATTACTTATAAGGATGACAATAAGTAAGTTTGATGGTTAGAAGGGGGTATCAAAGAGATAGTTAAGTGAGTCCTCAGAATTACGTATGCATGTACAAAATACTTAAGACTTCTGATTGGCTAAAGTATGCATTCCTGTCAGCTCAGTTTTGTCAGTCGTTACCCTCATACCTACACTTATAGTTTTGGACGCCATTTTGGCTTGAGTATCATCAGCGCCACTACTGTCAAGTTTTGTACGGATAATCTTCAAAAATAATCATGATATGCTGTAAGTTTGTCCAATGAAAGTGAAACACCGGATTTGAATGGGAGTGATTATTGAATTCCTGTATTATTTCTCCAGATGGTCGGCCAAACCTTGATAACTTTACAGTAGTCGTGCAGATCACACTCACAACGTACACACATGCAAATCCACGGACAAAAGAAGCAAAGGGAAAAATAGTACCGAGCGATGAATCCGATATCCCGCGGATACGCCTTTCGTAATCGCAAAGCGGCTCGTGACAAAGTGTTTTCGTCATACAAGACGGGAATCCTGCACTGTACGGCCAAGTATCCTCTGTAATCCAGTGTGTGGATTACTCTGTAAATCTAGCGCGTCAATGTCGAGTATCGGATTTTGCCGAGCATCCACGAGCCGACCCATTTCCTGAAGCTGCACAGGGTCGAGCATTTTTTTTTTCCTGTATTCTTTATCTTCCCGTTTAGCGGCTAATGTCACACCGAAGACGGACCGTATTTAAATCGCGAGTTCCGAGTTGTCGGACTTGTATTAGTCCAAGTGCCGCTGGTCACGACTGTTCGTACGTCTCATTGGTATCGATATGGCGAAATGCTTCGTAAGTGTTACTGCTGCCGTTTTTTTCTCTGACTTTTGAGTTACTAAGCTTGGTTTTGCGTGCGTAAACGTGTTGTTTATTAATTAAAATGCTTTTTTAGGCTCGCTCGTGAGAATTGTTTTAGTATACGTATTTTCTTTTTTTTTCATACGCTGTTGTTTTTTTTATATACTTTAATTTACTTTGCTTTTCTGTCCATCAGCGGTGGAGTTGATTTTTTTCACGATCCATAGAGACGTAGTTTTGTGGTCAGTTTTCAACCAAATTGTTAATTAATTAAAAATATTTTTCTCCTACATTTATTTTTTATTATGAATGACAAAATGCAATGCAGTGTAATCGTATTGTACTAAATTGCTTCTATTCTTTGTAATCAAAAGTTAAAAGTTACAAAATGAGGTTTGGTCACTAGTCTTACCACAATTGTCTGTTTCTACTTAAGGGCAGCTTCGTATAAGAGTTGCACCAATCTACCCTCATTTTACAATTTCACTACTACAACGGCAGTGGTTCAATAGTATATTATTTATTTAATTTTTGTACTCAAACCAATGTCAATAATATAATATCATGGAATTTAATTGTAAAAAAATCGCAGTAACTGCGTAGCATCTTAAACAAAAATTAGAAATCGTATTATGGACCTTCGTAACTGCAAAATTATAAAGGTTTACTGAATAAATGAGAATAACAATAAAAAAATATTAAAACAACACGGAAAATATAGAATTTATCTTAATTATAACATTTATATTGTTATTCTATATTAAATGTTAGTTTTTAAAAAAGCTTTCTTGTATAGTTATTGTTTGTTCAATCGTATTGAACGCTTGGACTTACCATGGTTGACAGTGAAATTTTTTAGATTTACATGCATTTTCAAATGAGGGAGGTCAATTTTCATAAAATTTTTTAATCCAGAATGTACGGTAATACAACAAAGGAATATTTCTAATTTTAGACGTTTCAGTTTTAAGCCGTTTTCCAACCAATCACTTTAATTTTGCAGATAAATATAACTATAAGTTATGTTATAGAAATAGATTACACTCTGGTCTGATTTATTAATTAATTATTAGCATATCCCATAAGTAGAGAAAAACAATGTATCAGAAAGTAGGTACACGTCACCGCCGGCTGAAGCATATACATTCTAATGTATTTTTTATTGCGTAATACTCAATACTTAATGCGTATACTATATATTTTTCTCTCTGAATGTCTCTGGTTCGTCAGCAAAGTGTGTGATGATTTTAATCAGAGTATGCAGAACAAGTTTTTTTTTTATTGCAAATAAAAATTTGGTAAAACTAAAAGTAAAAAATGATTTCTTATCGAATTCAGGGTCTCTAATCAGTTAGGTAATTTCCACCTTTATCAATCAATCGTGCACTCAATGGAATATTTTACACTCTTTAGTCCGTGAGTGAAAGTCGTTTTGATACAATGCGTATGTCGAGCAAATTGTTAAAGGTACGCGTGCCTTATCGTCTCGTGATAATGTTGCACGACACACTTGTTTAATTTATGCAGGAGTGAATAAAATATTTGCTTTCACTGTACACTTTTGTACGTGTACTCCATTAGAGAGGAATCAAACTGGCGATGCGAACTTGTGTCTGAATCATGAGTGTGCGGGTGGAGTATTTTTTTTTTTTACATTAAAAAATGAATAATTATCGGTTTTCTCGAATAAAAAAAAAGTTCGAACGTAATAATTAAAACAATTGGTGTTTCCATTTCTAGCTGATATTGTCCGCCCTGCTGTCGGTGTCAGTGGCTCGACCATCGGTTCTGCAAGTGAATCCGCTTGCGAACCTGCAAGCTCGTGCTTCGGCAAGTGCCTCCTCGTCGTTGCCGCAACAGCTGACTCTGCTGCGATTGTTGCCGAACAACGTCCCTCTGGACCCGGATAGTCGAGCCTTTGAAGCGCTCGAGGTATAGGGATAACATAGATATCATATGCATTCATTTTTTTTTTTTTAATTAAAAAATTGAAACGTCAACTTTTTGCAAAAATATACGAAAAAGTCACAATTTTTTTGTTTTTTGTTTTTTCACAACATTTAAAATATCAAGATGCATGNATAAAAACAATCCAAAAAGAAAATAAAAAAATTTGTTACAAATAATGTTATTTTTCAGGACGGCACCATAGATATCATATGCATTCATTTTTTTTTTTTAATTAAAAAATTGAAACGTCAACTTTTTGCAAAAATATACGAAAAAGTCACAATTTTTTTGTTTTTTGTTTTTTCACAACATTTAAAATATCAAGACTGTATAGCTTGAACAAAATTTTTAGATATTTTTATAAGACGTGCATCTTTACTCAATCAAGTTTAAATGATAAAATGTCACACCTTGAAAATTAATTTTCTGCCACACTGAGCAACCCAATTTATTCACCCTCATTGCGTTAAGTAATTTCTTTTGAGGTAGACAATTTAAGTTAATTGGTATAAATATTTCATTCAGTTGAGTTATTTTTTTTTGAATGACGAATTTTTTCATTCAGTTGTGTAAATTTTTTTTTTGTTAAAAGAAAATACTTATCAGAATGAGGGTTAAGACGTTTTCTTTGATTTAAAGTATATTCGATCGCTCAGTACATAAAAAAATGTTTTCTGTATTCATTAGGTACGAATACAATTTTTCTTAAAACGATGATTCAATGGTTGAAAAAATAAGTATTTAAAAAATCTAGAAGGTTATTTTTGATCGTATGAGATATCAAGTGAGGAACTTGTAAAATTTTCGAACTGCTTTCATCCGATCTTTGTTCAAAAATCAAGCTGCAACCGATTAAATATTCAACGAATACACAAAAAAAAAAATACTCGGCTTAACCAGGACAACAGCGAGCAGGAAGCCACGGGTCATCGCGTCCAAGCGAATCTGGCAAGGGACGGCTCGAGAAACATCCTGTCTTGGTCGCCACTACTCTCGGCCTCCTCGAGCGCGTCGGCTTCGTCGTCCCTCTCTGACGGCCGCATTTTCGACTCCCTCGAGCCTAGCTTGAACCAACCTGCTCAGCGTGACGAACAATTGAGATCCTCTGGCCACTCTGTAAGTAAAACAGTGGCAGTAATTACTAAAAAATCACAATTTTGGTGGTTCAAGCGTTGGTTATTATTTTTATTAGTGGTCTTCACTTTTTTTCCTTATTTTGCATCGAAATTCAACCAACTAGACCCAAATGATCCCAAGTCATTCCAAAATAAATTCTACCAATTTATCGAGAATTGGGGGAATAAAAAAACATCAAAATAAATATTGCAGTAAATAAATTACATTTGAATTGAAGAAGCATCGGATGCAGAGAAACAACTTCATGTAATTTCTAAAAGACTATTAATTGGCACTCTCTTGCCATGAATCACTTACTTTGCGTACTAATTATCTAATAAAAATTTGAATCAGCTGTTTCTCTTTACCATCGATGGGCTCACTTCACGTATAAACGTTGTAATATTGTAAAAACCATGAGTATACCATTACTGTATCACTCGTTTCTTTTTGTTAATATATAATGTAGGTGCTCTTCCCTTTAAATGCCCAGAAACATTTACACACGTGACAGGGCAGATACCGAAACTCAAACCCAGTCCCAATGAACACCAATCTCGACCACCTATTGGACAATTCCATACTTCAAATGATTGAAAAAAAAAAACAAATCTGTTTTCAGGCCCAATCCCAATCGCAGCAGCATGTGAGCGGAGGCCCGGGCTCCCTGCTCTCGGCAACCAGACTCTCGCAGTCGCTTGCGAGCCTGAGCCCCACAGGCGCCTCCAGCAGCTCCAGCGTCCAGGTTCTCGAGTCTCCCGAGCTGAGCGCCGCCCGAGCTGCGCTCCAACACCAGCAGGCCGTACTTTGGCCTCGCGACTCCAGTGCTGGTCGCTTGCCCCTGATCATCGGCAATGATGGAGAAATCGTCACTGCTCCGCTGATTCTGTTGTAAAATACTGAAAGCAAAAATCGACCTATTTCTTTTTTTTTCTTCGTAGTTGGTTTAGCACGTAGAGATATCGCTAATGCGCTATGTAGTCGATAATACATTGGGATACTCCATTCTTAAGGATATTTTTTTTTTGGATTTTATTAAAAAAAAAAAAACAATTTTTTTTTTGGTGTATAAAAAGCGTTTACTCCAATTTGTGCACGCCTCATTCCAACAAATCCAATTGGTCCCAGTGTGATTTTGTAATAAATCATCTGCTATTTTGAGTACTTTTGATTCCAATCGCATCGGAGCAATCATTGACACAATGTTGGAGGAAAAATGTCTCCAGACATTTTTTAACTTATAATTATTATTATTTTTCAATGATGGCTCCGTAAAATTATTGTAACACAAATACGAATAAAAACAGAAGCAAAATCCCCAATGAAAAAGAATAATCGAGCAAAATCGCAAAGTTACACTACTCCAGCAGCAGATGTAAAATAGAACAAACCCCATATCGCGAGTATACGTACATACTGCAGGCTTCTTTCACCGCCCGCAAGTAAAATCATTTCACTCCAACGGCCTCTAACGGGCACTCACGCGCTCCCGAGCATTCACGTGCCTACCGTTGTGGTTATTGAAATCCTTTCCCCGCGGCACTAGTATATACGGTAAGTTAAATACACGAGAACTCGACGAGACATCGAAGGTAGCTCCCACGCAATTCGAGCTCACACCGTCGGCGTCGCTTGGAATTTCAGTGAACAGATCAATCGACGATAAGGCTGCTACTGATCGCTCCTCCCCTGCCCCCGATTTTAGACTGGCGGACGTAGGTGCAATTGTTACACCGCGTCTAATCCGTTACAAGAGCAACAGCATGTTTTCGTCCTTAGATCTCGTCGATGTTGTCAGGATATCGAACACATATGGTCCTTGGAAGGATTTTTTGAGCTTGATCTTTTTTTTTTTTTCAAGGATTGTTTTGAGAACCATTTGAGTTTGGATGGTCAATAAAACGGAGGTCAGTTATTTTTATTTTTTGATACTACTTTCCAAATGTCGAGTTATTGCATTGTGTAACAATTACGAGTTGATATTCTAAAGAAACGAGATTGACTTTACATTTTTTTTTACCCTTACACTTTTTTCATCAATGTAGGGTATTGATGTGAAGTTGATTCCATAAAATTTACTAGTATGCATGATTTTTTGCTCGTACAGCCACGCATTAGAAAGAAATAACGTAATATACTGACGGTAAACAAATATGGTAACTAAAGACTATTGGAAATACAAAGCTGGAATGTAAGTTTGTCCAAAAATCGGAGGTCCTTACTTCCTAAAATTACGGCGAAAGCAAAAAATATACATAATACTTGCTTCTCTCTGTGGTAAAGTAGTTGGTCGACTGAAGGAGGAAGAAGAGGTGGAAAAAACGAAGCGATCGACTTTGTGAAAAATGCATTCACGTACTACAAGCCTCGAGATCAGGGTCGGCGTGTCAGAGACCTCCTCAGCAGGAACTTTCTGTCCGTCAAGGTCGCGGTGCTATGTATATACATATCTATTGCACATTGGAAATCAAACGTGACGTGTGACGTTTGCATCGAGATGTAGTGCTTGGGCACTTGTGTAATTATAAATGGTAATTCGCAGTTTGCCGGATAGCGATGATTAATTATTTTTGTGTCTATCCAACTGAACGTTGATTAATATTGGTCGTGGAGTAGAATGAGAGCAATTTGATACATTCACCGGTATAAATGGTTTGGCTTTTATCAAATGAAAATTAATTTTTAGTAATCAAATTCAAATACTTTTCATTCGAATAACAGTAAAAAATGTATGTTGCCTCTACTATAGGTGGACCAGTTTTTCACGAGATTTGATGTGCTTTTACAAGCAGGACTCAAGTGATCAATTCATTTATTAACAGAGAAAAAAGTTTAACTACAGCATTTACATTACATGCTGTTTTGTGCTCAGCAATAGCTAAGGTGAATGTCCCAATTATCAATCATTTTTCTTTATATCTTAATGTACATTTTTTCAAACATGAATGAATTTTTATTGGGTATAACACAAAAAAACCATTTTTTTAATACTAATCCACTTTGTTATTCATTGAAAATATATCTGAGGCCTGTAAAACGAAAAATAAAGAGACTGATAATTCGGACATTTCGTTTGCTTGAGTCAGCGATAATTAGGACATTTGCTTTATATTTTTTAGAAGCCTACAAGATTTTTGGTTAACGCTTTGTCTTTGTATGTCAATTCAAGACGTTAGCTATTGTAAGGGGGATACAGCGTCACAGTCAACTTCAAAAGTTGGCGGGATGTTATACTTAGGCCATAAAAATTGTCTCACAGCAGCCAGTGGTAAGTTGTTCGTTTTCTATTTTAAAATATTGAGCATTAGGCGTACTCTAATAGCAGTGGATAGATTAATATATAATCAGTGAACTCAAATGGTTATACTGCTAACTTCTGTTTATTATTGAACAACATAGATATTTTAAAATATCTCAATAACTAGATGGCCGAGATCGCCCAAAAACCTTCGTTTTTTTTTTTTTTTTAATTATTTTTCAAAATATTACTATCCTTGATGCATCGTGCCAAAAATATCACATTGTATTAAAAAAAAAAAAAAAAACGTAAGCTACGGAACGAATAAAAAAATAAATAAATGCTTTGGATTCAAATTATGTACAATATCTCTATAACAGGTTGTCAAAACCAATCCTAATTTCGATATGTCATGTTATTTATTATTTCCTATAACATGCTAGTTTTTTACACAATTTTTTCGGAAACTTTTGAAGTTATTGTTGAGAGTAAACATTTCGTGACGTCGTCTTAATAAGGGCCTGTGTATGATCATCTAACTTTATCACTGAATTTTAAAAGAGAAGAATAGAATTTTTCAACAAAAATCTGTTGGAACTTATTTTTGCTCTAACTCTCTTAAGTGAATAAATAACTTACGAGAATAAACCATAGCAAAAGTCCATAGCAATTTCTGCAAAAAAAAAAACTGTCATTTAATTTTTTTTTTTGCGATTACTGCACCCTAACAAAAAAAGACTTTGCACTTGATGCGCATCCAATCAGGAGAAACACAAGAAGTCCCTGCATCAGTGGACTTGATTTAATCCATATTAAATTCAGAGAATACATTTTTCACATTTAATTAATAATATTTGAGTAAGTGCCTCATGAAATTCAAACTCTGATTTACTGGGACAATAATAGAAAATTATGCCACTCAGTCAACTAAGCTATTGACGTTCCTTAGGTACAATTTATTTATAACTAAAAAAGGCAATGTTTCAATAAATATAATGTTAATACATGTATTTGCAAGTAATTACTTGATTGACTATTTTACTATCAATACGCCGTGACCTACAAATTGGATCAAGTGGTTGTGTTGCAAAAACTACTTTTAGAATGTGCAGGTCATTTCAGCAATATATATGATCAAACGGAAGGTATAACATGAGTTGTTTTAAGACACGAGTGAGAATACAGATGTGAGATCTCGTATAACATGACAATCAGTATACATATACATATGTTATCGGAACCCATTAAAATTTTCTTACTTCATTTCAACGTTACCTTTTAAAATTAAAAATTGCAAAAAAATAGTGCTCGATGTAAGTAATAAATTTTTTTTTTTTTAATGACATTTTGTTATTTTGCATAATTGTGTTTGAAATTTTCCCAATAAACAACAGTAGTCAAAGTTAAGTCGCACTAAAGCTGCAATTAATTGTTTGGTTGTTTTTACATCTTTCACAACAAATTTTGTTTGGAACTTGTTAAAAAAAGACATTACAAGTACTGTGTACTCAATTAAAATTAATAAATTTACTATTTTAACTAAAATAATATTCAACACAATTTTTTATTTTTTTCTAATTTTCAGAAAAATCACAGGAAATATTCTGTACTGCTGTTGAGGCATTAGAGTATTCGTAAAATACCTTACAAAATATCTAATTATTTTTGGGCTACTTCAGCCAACTTTAAGATGGTCTCCGTTTCATCGATTGTTTTAACAATAGGATTTAATTACACATGTACTATGATTTTAAGTTGGTCGAAATCTGACTTTAAGTATGAGACGCGTGAATATAAATTGTTAGATTATACTAGTTATGCGTCATCGTTTGAAGATTTTGTCAAAAAATATCCCACTTTTACCGTCAATACAACAGGCAAAGCAGTATCGTGGTCAACTTTTGGAGACTTGGGTAGAAGTAAATTCGGATTGTACAAATTTGGGACGCGTAGTGTTTATCACTATAATAAAGAAGTGAGAGTTTTTTTCCATTATAGCGAAGGCATTTTATGGTGTTACACTGTATGCGTGAGAGTGAATTTAAAGTTCAGAAAAGATGGTTCTTATTTGTATATAACACCTTTTGTTGGTGGATATCTCAAAAGTAATGGACATTATCAGAGAAAGTTGGAGTTTGGATTTCAGGTGTATGGTGTTACCTTTCATTCAGTAAATAACAAAAAATAATTGACAAACCTGTTAAAAAAAAATTTCTATTGTTGTACATTGCTTTTTATGGTCAGGAAATAAATTTGAAACGTATTTATATTAGAAAAAAACATTTTTTTTTACATTTAATCCATCAAGCCCATAAATAAATTCTTTATGAAATTCAAACACGGAATTTTCATTATTTTTGTCGTACAATGCTTCGGAGTTGAAAATAAACTTTAAAAAAGAACAGCTAGAGAAAACTTAATTAAATAAAAGACATATCTTTTTGGACCTAATTCGTTTTTTATCATAAAAATAAAAATAAAATTTAATGGGAAAACTACGCGAAATGTGCGATACTTTTATCTGTAGTATGACTGAAATCCAGAAATACGTATTGCAGCTCAACGGTACCATAGATCGATTATCTTCCGCTAATTGACTCTATTCAAGCTAAGAAAGTTTTAGAAAAAAGTTTTAACATTTTTATGCCTGATGGAATTGATACTCTGTTTTAATGAGCCGACAATAGAATAACAGGTCATGTAGAAACCTCAGCTAGTCATGCCCTCCCTCAGATACTATTTCATTAAAAATAAAATAAAATAATTGTTTTATCAATAG